AAACCCCGTCTGTACTAAAAATACAAAAATTAGCTGGGTGTGGTGGTGGATGCCTGTAACCTCAGCTATTTGGGGTGACTGAGCAGAGAATTGCTTGAACCCAGGAAGTGGAGGTTGCAGTGAGCTGAGATCTCGCCACTGCACTCCAGCCTGGGAGACAGCAAGACTCCATCTCAAAAAAAAAAAAAAAAAAAAAGGAATATAGGCCGGGTGCAGTGGCTCACGCCTGTAATCCCAGCACTTTAGGAGGCCAAAGTGGGAAAATTGCTTAAGGCCAGGAGTTGGAGACTAACATAATGAGACCATGTCTGTACAAAAGTTAAAAAATAAAAATCAACTGGTGTGGTGGCACACTTCTGTAGTCCCAGCCACTCGAGGGGCTGAGACAGGAGGATTGCTTGAGCCCAGGAAGTCGAGGCTGAGGTGAGCCACTGAACTCTAGCCTGGGTGACAGGGTAGGACCCTGCTGCTTTTAATTTTTTTTAATTTTTTATTTATTTTATGTACTTAGTTGTGTGTGTGTGTGTGTGTGGTTTTGTTTTTGGTTTTTTTTTTTTTTTTAAGACAAAGTCTCCCTCTGTCGCCCAGGCTGGAGTGCAGTGGCGTGATCTCGGCTCACTGCAACCTCCACCTCCTGGGTTTGAGTGATTCTCCTGCCTCTGCCTCCTGATTAACTGGGATTACAGGTGTGTGCCACCACACCTGGCTAATTTTTGTATTTTTAGTAGAGACGGGGTTTTGCCATGTTGACCAGGCTGGTCTTGAACTCCTTACCTCAGGTGATCCGCCTGCCTCGGCCTCCCAGAGTGCTGGAATTACAGGCATGAGTCGCCATGCCCAGCCAGACCCTGTCTCTTTTAAAAGAAAGGCAAAAGAAATATAAAGCACTTAATCAGTGCCTTGCACTAATGGGCAATGAATAAAGTGATGCTATATCATCATCATCATCATCATCATCATCAATTCTATGATCAATTCTCAGGCTTTCAAGGCTTTAGAATCTTTCTATGTCTTTGGATGTTGTGGCCTTTATGCAACACACAAGCTTGTTTGGAGCTGGTGGTCAGGGATATGGTATTTTCACTAAGTTAGGGATGGAGCTTTATAAGAAATCAGTGTAAAGGAGGAAAAAAGAAACAGGCGTCCTAAAGACATAACGTGTATTGCTGAGCAAGTGCTGATGGCTGCCTTCGCCACCTTCTGCTACAACGGTTCTCAGCATTTACGTGCATTTCAGAAAGATTCCCATTCTCTTCTCCCCAGAGTCTGAATGGAGAAGGTCTGGAACAACCTGAGATTCAGCATTTTTAGGAGTGTCTCTGGAGATTTTGAAACAGGTGGTTTAAGGACTTTCTGTCTCTTCTCCCTCCCCCAGATGAGGAAGTGCTGCTTGTGTCTGCGAGTCAATATGAGAGTTAAAAACAACAACAAAACCACTGCTCCTGGAATGGTCCAGTTCCCATGGCCACGACCAGCAAAGTGGGCCTGATTTCCTCAGGAGGGGAAGAAGTGACGGCTGCAGAGTCCTTGACCACCTCAGTGTCTGGGCTCGAGCATCCTGCCACCCCCAGCGTCTGCAGGTCACCCCCAGACTGACGCCATCTCAGTGAGCTAATGCCAGTGTCTGCCCTGCGCCGGCTCATTCAGCAGCCACTGGAATGATCAATGAGGCCGGCCACCCGGCCCTCCATCGGCTGCCGGTGAATCAGCTGCCTTAGCCATTCGCATCTCCACTGAGCAGGAAGCGCTCGAGCTGAGCCAGCCAGGGCTGACTGGCGTCTGGCTAATGGCTTTTCTATGTCATGCACTGACCTTGATCCCATATGTTTTTCATACGTGAGTGGATTGGAGCGCCTGAAGATGGTCCAGTGGTGGAAATAACTCGTCTGCCAAGCCCCTCACCGAGGTCCTGGGCAGTACTTTGGTTTAGGGGTATCTGCTTCTGAAGCAGAAACAGTGCTTTTGTTTAAATTGAGGTGAAATTCACATGGCATAAAATCAGCCAGGTTAAAGGGAACAAGCGGTGGCATCTGGTGCGTTCACAATGTTGTGCAAAACCACCTCTATCCAAAAACACCTTCATCGCCCCAGAAGGAATCCCTGTACCTGTTGCGTGAGTGTACTAGGGCTGCTGTAACGAAGTGACACAAACTGGGTGGCTTCGACAACAGAAATTTGGGGCCAGGAGCGGTGGCTCATGCCTGTGATCCCAGCACTTCGGGAGGCCGAGGTGGGTGGATCATTTGAGGTCAGGAGTTCAAGACCAGCCTGGCCAACATGGTGAAACCCCATCTCTACTAAAGCTATAAAAATTAGTCGGGTGGTGGTGGCACATGCCTGTAGTCCCAGCTGCTTGGGAGGCTGAGGCAGGAGAATCACTTGAGCCTTGTAGGCGGAGGTTGCGGTGAGCCAAGATCACACCACTGCATTCCAGTCTGGGCGACAGAGTGATACCCTGTCTCAGAACAAACAAACAAACAAACAAACAAAAAGAAATTTACTGTCTCACAATTCTGGAGGCTAGAAGTTTGAAATCAAGGTGTCAGCAGGCTTGGTTCCTTCTGGAGGCTGTGAGGGAAGGATCTGGTTTGGACCTCAACCCTTGGCTTTATAGATGGCCGTTTTTCTCTCCACATCATCTTCCTCTATGCCTGCCTGTGTCCATGTCCAAATTTCCCTTTATTATAAGGACACCAGGCATTTTGGATAAGGGCCCACCCTAATGACCTCATTTTAACATGATTACCTCTGTAAAGACCCTATCTCCAAATAAGGTCACATTCTGGGTTACTAGGGGTCAGGACTTCACAGTATGTATTTTGGGGGGGACACGATTCAGCCTTTAACAACATTAAGCAGTTTCAGTACTTTGTTCCGTTCTATGGCTGAATAATATCCCATTGCATGTAAGCATTTATTTTTTGAGCCCCAAGTACAAAGCAACTGTCAGTGAAATCTCCACCCCCTGGGTAGTGTGTGCCCGTCTGTATAAGGTGGCATGTTGGTCTCACAGGTATAGCTCACAAATCTGCAATCTGTAAACTTTTTCTTACTGTCTTCCTCCTTGAAAAAGTGTGAGCCTTTATGAGCAAAAGTCAAAGCAGTACTGGACTAAGGGAAGAGAGGTCAAGCTTTTGATCCTAAAATTAATTTTAAAAATTGATTTCAGGCTGGGCACAGTGGCTCACGCCTGTAATCCCAGCACTTTGGGAGGCTGAAACGGGCAAATTACTTGAGCCCAGGAGTTCAAGACCAGCCTAGGCAACATGGCGAGTCCCTGTCTCTACAAAAAATACAAAAATTAGCTGGGCATGGTGGCATGCACCTGTAGTCCCAGCTGCTTGAGAGGCTGAAGTGGGAGGATTGCTTGAGCCTGGGAGGTGGAGGTTGCAATGATCTGAGATCACACCACAGCACTCCAGCCCATGTGACAGAGTGAGACCCTGTCTCAAACAAAAAAAGATGATTTCATCTTTACATTTTATTTTTCCTTTTCCTAGTCTTATCCCCAGCACTCCCCACTTCCTGCAAGCACAGGTGCACACACACAGACCCGTGCACTCATACGTTCACATTAAGAGTATTTTCATGTGACCATTCTGGCGAGGGGCGCGGCACAGATAGGAGACACAGGCCTTTGAGAAGACCCAGACAGCAGCTTGCTTCCATTGTCATGGTTACTGGGCTCAGTCCCTAGGGCTGGCTGCAGACCAGAGCCTTTCAGAGCGTCTTCACACTCCCGTCCCTGCTCCTGCCTGAGAATGAGAGAGAGACCTTCGGGCACATGTGTCTTCTCAGCTGTGAAACTAACTGCACTGTTGACCTGTACATTTCATCGGCCCCCTTAATTTAAAATCTGTTTCTGTCTCTTACACAGACAAACAGGGGACTCGAATCCCTGCAGATTCTTAGGGAATAACCCCGAGTCCTCATTAGTTTGTTGCAGACTCAGGCCCCACTCCGCCATCCCAGAGGCGTCGGTGGTCATGACCCAGTGTCTGTCTCTAGTAGGGATGGCAGCAGGATCGCATCATCCTGCGTCCTGACTCTGAGCAGGGTTGTGCCTCATGCAAAAGTTGTTTAGTTTCCTCCTTCCTCTCTCCCCACCCCCCGCTCTCTCTTTTCCATCAAGTTCATTTTGCCACTTTGAAAGTCCACTGGGGGAAGAAATGCCTGCTGGCCCTAGGGTTTTCAGAGAGGCAGGAAGGCAGATAGAATAGCTCATACAGGAAGAAAGGACAGAAAATGTTCATATAGTAGGCTGCTCCACATGAGCATTTTAGGGTAAGATAGGTGACTTTTGGGGCCTTGGACTGGAAGGCTCCATACTTTTCATGGAATTGGCTGAAAAGGAGCTAAAGGTGCTGTAGGTGGTCCTCGGCAAGGAGCAGCCTTCGGGGGCTCAGATTCTGAACCTTGGCTCTGCTCATGGTGGGGCCTGGGCCTCTGGAGCTTTGAAAAGCTTCCAGGTGATTCTAATATCCAGCCACCTTTGAGAACCGCTGTTCTAGGGGACAGAGGCTTCCGGGAGAATTGTGCATTTTGAGAGAGGGAGGATAGAAGAAGTAGATATCTAATGCTCCGTGTTCAGCAATGCCGCTAATTAAGCAGAAAGCAAGGGCAGAAATCACACACCCTTGGCTGTCTTAGGCCAAGCAGGACTCTAGCTCCATTTAACCCTGTAGAATGCAAAGGGAGACTCCAGTGTCCCCCTTCCCACGGTTTCATCGGCTGCCAAAGCTGACAGACTGCCAGCCACCCCGCCGAGCATTTGCCAAGGTGATGGAAAATATTCACGGGAACACTCCGTCTCCACGTTCTACTCACAACTGGTTCTCTCCCTAGCTCCCAAGGAAAAGTAACATGAGGCCCATGTGGCTGCTTTCTCTTCTCAGCAGAAGGTGCTGATGTTATTAGAGGCTCGCCAAGCCTTGGTTGGAGGGGGATGTCAGGGGCATGCTGTGGGGGCTGACCTTTCTGTCTCTGACTCTGTTTTGTAGTACAAAATTGGACAGCTGTACATGATCAGCAAACACAGCCATGAACAGAGTGACCGGGGAGAAGGGGTGGAGGTCGTCCAGAATGAGCCTTTTGAGGACCCTCACCATGGCAACGGGCAGTTCACCGAGAAACGGGTGTATCTCAACAGGTGAGTCATGGCAGCCTGCGTTCTGCCCAGGAGCCCCTGCCCACCTGACCCCCTGGTGTGACAGTGAGGCTGTGGGTGTCTGGGATGAAAAGGTCACTTGGAAAGTAACTACATCCATAGTCTACAACCACCAATCTCATTGCTTTTGAAAGCAGAATCTGCCTGGCCAGGTGTGGTGGCTCACACCTGTAATCCCAGCACTTTGGGAGGCTGAAGGTGGCACTTTAGGGCAGGTGTTCGAAACCAGCCTGGGTAACATGGCAAAACCCCATCTCTACTAAAAATGCAAAAATTAGCTTGGCATGGTGGTGTGCATCTATACCACTCGGAAGGCTGAGGTGGGAGGATCACTTGAGCCTGGGAGGTTAAGGGCTGCAGTGAGCCAAGATCATGCCGCTGAACTCCAGCTTGGGCGACACAGTGAGACCTTATCTCAAAAAAGAAAAAAAAAAAAAAGAAATATATTTTGTTGAAATTAACTGTCTGTTTCAGCAAACAAGTCTTACATCAGCCATTTCATGAATACTTTTACCCCTACCTATGGCCTCTCTGATTGGCCCATATGTGATTATCCAGAAAGTATTTCCAATGCCCCTAGCTGGGCAGTGCCCCAGTTTATTCACTGACACCAGTGACTGTCCATTCTCAGGGCCTCGGACATGGTCAGACATCTCTGAGAGGAACCATATTTACAGTCCCATTCTCGCCTTGGCCCCACTCCCCAGCAGCTTGAATTGGACTATTCCTTCTTGATGGGAGACTTTGGTTCCTGTCACTAGGGTGGATGGAAGTCTCCCAGACCTGTGTCCTGACAGTGAAGGGCATGAGCTGATTAAACTGATGTTTTAATTTGCCCAGAGATGCAGTACCAGGGAATTCCTGAGTCACGATGAAATGCAAATGAGATTGATCCCATTCATCTATTAGTAGCTGTGAATTCCCAGGCTTTGGAACCAGTTCAGTGTCCAGCCAGCTGTTGATTTGCAGGGGCAACTGAGCTCTGGGTCTGGCCTGGGCATGCTTTCTTTATAGAGACAGGTTTCTCAATATGCTGCTTTGGCATTCTTAGTGTGGAGGGTGTAAATCAAATCCTGAGCAGGTTTCTCCTCGGGGATCACCTCTGCAGGGCAAAGAGAAGTGAGGGAGATGCAGGAAAATAGAAACCAATGGAAAATTCCATTTCTTGGCATACAATTGCATTCTCTCAAGTTATTACCTGGAGAATGTTCCTTATATATGAAAATCAGGAAGAATTTTAGGAACTTTATAAGTTTTGCTGAAACAAAATAAGAAGCATCTAGCTGTCCCTGTCATGTCTGTTTTGTCATATCATATTTATTTCGTATTTATTTAAAAGAAGAGTAATAAACGTTAGTAAGAGGGAAAGTTGTTATAAATAGATGTGGACTTCCAGTAATAGTAAGGAAAAAGATTAATGGGGACCCTCCACCACCTCCCATGACAAACAGGATGAAATATAACTGTGTAAAGAAGCTGAGCTCAAAACAAAGAAAGGGAAATCCTCTGAGGCTAGAAATAAACAGGCAAACTGAAACCGGAATGGAAAGCAGACCCGCTAATGCTAATGAAGGGCATTGGGGGGACATCAGAAGAGTGTGGGTTCTGACATCTAGGGACTGGGCATGTCATGCCCATGGGGAACAGGAATTAGGGTATCAGGCCCACATAAATGGAAAGTTGAAACTGAGAATCAGGCATAAAAATAATTTTTGACAATCAAGGGCTGAGAGAGTTTACTAACTCTGAGACCCATATTGAAAGAACTACTAAAGGGTGTGTTGTAAGAAAGAGGAAACTGAGCCCAGGAAGAAGGAGGGGGAGTTCTAGGAGTAATAATAAATGAAGAAATTGATAAACAACTAGGTAAATCTTTGAATGGATGTAGGATGTTTTAAAAACAGTAATAATAAGACAACAATAGCACAGAAGATGGGAGGGTAATAATTATAGTAAAAAGCACTTTAAGGTGCTAATATTGTTTAGGAATTAGAAAAAAATATTGATTAATTTTAGATTTTCCTTTTTTTTTTTTCTTTGAGATAGCCAGCTCTATCGCCCAGGCTGGAGTGCAGTGGTGCAATCTCGGCTCACTGCAACCACCACCTCCTGAACTTAAGCGATTCTCATGCCTTAGCCTCCTGAGTAGCTGGGACTACAAATGTGCACCACCACAATGCCTGACTAATTTTTGTATTTTTTAGTAGAGACAGAGTTTCACTATGTTGGCCAGGCTGGTCTTGAACTCCTGACCTCAAATGATCCATCAGCCTTGGCCTCCCAAAGTGCTGCGATTACAGGCATGAGCCACCGTGCCCAGCCTAATTTTAGATTTTCTGAGACAAGTATGCATATTCAAAATATAAAGGTAATCTCTGAAGGGACAGTAAAATAATCCATAACCTCCGAGAGAAAACTTGATCAATCCACAGAGGGCCCGGAAACAAAAAAGAGAAGCCTACAAAAAGCATGATAAATAGAAAACACAAATTTGAATGGTAAAATGAAATGTCAAATACTCACTACAATTAGCCACCCTCGCAGCTAGAGATGGCCATGTGACCTAGTTCTGGCCAATGAGACATAAGATTTTTCCTCCTTGATAAAAAGAGGGATGTTCAAGGAATAACTTTGCTATTCAAAGAGAATCTGTTCTGATGTATCCCCACTTCATGATTTGTGTGTAAGAAAGTGGGGAGTTCAAGCCTGTAATCCCAGCACTTTGGGAGGCCGAGACGGGCGAATCACGAGGTCAGGAGATCGAGACCATCCTGGCTAACCCCGTGAAACCCCGCCTCTACTAAAAAATACAAAAAACTAGCTGGGCGAGGTGGTGGGCGCCTGTAGTCCCAGCTACTCAGGAGGCTGAGGCAGGAGAATGGCGTAAACCCGGGAGGCGGAGCTTGCAGTGAGCTGAGATCCGGCCACTGCGCTCCAGGCTGGGCGACAGAGCGAGACTCCGTCTCAAAAAAAAAAAAAAAAAAGAAAGTGGGGAGTATGGGGGCTAACTGTTGGAAAGAACACTAATAGTGCCTACCAAGTGAACCTTGATAACAACACTGGACAATAACCATACCAAAAAGAAACTTATAGGCCAATCTCAGTTGAGAACATAGACATGAAAATACTATATAAAACATTAGCAAATAAAATACCTCAGAAAATAATAATAACAACAATGTATCATGACCTAATCAGATTTACCCCTGAAATTGATGAAATTAACATTTAATAAATCTGTGTACTTATTCGGAGTAAAGTCAGGAACACATTAAGGATCCTTGTTATTACCATGTCTGTCCAACATTGTGTAAAGGTCCTAGCCAATGCAATAAAACAAGAGAGAAATAAAGAGGAAAGGAAGAAACAAAATGATCATTTGCAGATAACATGATTGTCTGATAGAAATTTCAGACATTTTTTACAGCTGTTGCCATCAATATGAGAATTCAGCAAGATCGTTGGGTACAATCCATATAGAAAAATCCACAGCATTATTATACAGCGGGAAAAATAGAGAAAATATAATTTAAAACATTTTTATTTATAATAGAAAAAGAAACAAAGTTACCCAGTAATCAGCCTACAAGATAAGCAAAATCTTTTTGGAGAAAAACGTAAAACATTTGTGGAAGTCATTTTAAAAGCCCTAGACAGATAGTGAAATATACCATATTCATGGATGGGAAATGTTACAAAGTTGGCATCAAATCTCAAATCAATCTATAAATTTAATAAAATTAACTTAAAATGCCAACATGTTGTTTTTAAAAAAATAGAACTGGTGCTGGGTGCGGTGGCTCACGTCTGTAATCCTAGCACTTTCGGAGGTCAAGGTGGGCGATCATGAGGTCAGGAGATTGAGACCATCCTGGCTAATATGGTGGAACCCCATCTCTATTAAAAATACAAAAAATTAGCTGAGCGTGGTGGCACACGCCTGTAGTCCCAGCTACGTGGGAGGCTGAGGGAGGAGAATCGCTTGAACCTGCGAGGTGGAGGTTGCAGTGAGCCAAGATCGTGCCACTGCACTCCAGCCTGGGTGACAGAGCAAGACTCCATCTCAAAAAGAAAAAAAAAAAAAAAATAGAACTGGAGGAGATAGTCGTAAAATTCATATGAACAATTTGGAAAACTGAAGGAGGGACTTGACCTACCAGATGTCATTATAAAGCTAATTAACTAATTGCCTAAGTAATTATATAAGTAATTAAGGCAGTGGGGTACTAGAGCAGAGTTAAACTCATGGAACAAAGTAGCCCCAAAACAGATCCAAGCCATTATTAGTGCTTTGTATTTAACAGAGCTGGCATAAAATTATTGAGGGGAAGATGAACTCCTCAGTATATGATGTTGAGATGACTAGTCTTCTAATTGGAAGAATGACTAGAGCCCTCCTTCACACTACACACACAAATAAACTCCATGGCTGGGCATGGTGGCTCATTACTGTAATCCCAACAATTTGAGAGGCCAAGGTGGGAGGATCAATTGAGCCTGGGATTTCAAGACTGGACTGGGCAACATGGTGAAACCCCATCTCTACAGAGAATACAAAAATTAGCCAGGTGTGGTGGCACACACCTGTGGTCCCAGCTATTCAGGAGGCTGAAGTGAAGATTGTTTGAGCCCTAGAGGTGGAGGTTGCAGTGAGCCAAGATCACACCACTGCACTCTAGCCTGGGCAACAGAGCAAGACCCTGTCTCAATAAATAAATAAATAAATAAATTCCAGATTGATGAAAAACCTAAATGTGAAAAAATCAAAAGAAAATGTATGCAAATGGCTATATTATTTGGATAGTAGACTAGGACTAATTAAATAAAACAAATAAATGCAATCATTAATATTACAATGCTAAAATTAAGAGCCTTTGCATAGCAAAAAACACACACATAAAAAGTTTAAAAAAAAAAAAACCTTTGCATAGCCAAAGACACCAAAATTAAAAGAACCATCCCTGGGCCGGGTGCGGTGGCTC